TGGCCTTTTATTCATACCAATAAACAATCATCATCCTTTATCCATGCAAAACAGCCGAGTCTGATAATGGTGCTTTTTCATGATAACAAAGGTGAAGGTGAACTGTCTGGTCTAACAGCTGTGGGCTGATTCTTTGGAGCCTTTTTAATCGTTGGAAACAGCAGGAAGGGTTTGAAATCCAGACTCATAATCGGGTCCATGAACACAGCTGTGAAGAATGAACATTAATAAATAATAATAATAAACTTCATTTATAAAGCACACTTAAAAACCAAGGGTATGCCAAGGTGCTTAACAAGTAAGATAGAGAATATGAGGAGGATAGAAATAGGACCAAAGCAGGTAGCTGTCACTGATACACAGGAAAGCAACAGGTAACGAGCAAACAAGAATGTAAATGAGCATAAAAGTGCATGATATAAAATCATAAAAGAAATATTAACTAGAGGGAAAGGCAAGATTGAATAAGTGGGTTTTTAGTCGTGATTTGAACAGACGCGCGGAGGTCGAGAGGAAGGTTATTCCACAGTCCCGGTCAGAGCAGACGCACGGTCACCCCGAGACTTCAGCCGAGGTCTGGGTTGGGTCAGAAGTAGTCGAGTGGCAGATTTGAGTGCTCCAGCAGGAGTTCACTAAGATAACTTGGCGCTAATTTATTAATAGTTAAGGAGTAATATTTTAAATGATACTATAATTATAACATCGTATGAAGCCATCAGCAAAGCGCTGAGAAGCCAGTGAGCAAGTCTGCAGCACTGTTGGTGAATCGAATCAACTTGATTTTATTTATATGGCACAAAAACACAACAAGTTGCATTGTGCTGTTTTATATTGTACAGTAAAGAGAGAAGCCCAACAAACAGACCCGCGAGCACTCGGTGACAGCGGGGAGGAAAACTCTGTTTAGAGGAAGGAACCTCTGGAAGAACCAGGCTCAGGGAGGGGCGGCACGGGGCAGAAGAGCCAGAGAGGAACAATGAGATGAACACACAAACTCTCTGTTCCTGATTCATGCGTTTCTCACAAAGGTTTTCTCTCTTTTTTTCCAGGAAGTAAGACGATGGAGGGAGTGGTGACAGGTGTGAACACAGGTAAAGCACCTGCAGTGCAAACAGCACGTACTCTACTGAAGTTATGAAGCAAGAATCGAAATCACGAGTTTGTAAATTCATCTTTTTCTCATTAACTCTAAAACGTAAACAATAAAAACATTGACTTCCTGTTTCCTGTCTCAGTGGCTCAGAAGACGACCGAACAGGCTAACGTCGTGGCCGACACCGCTGTTTCTGGGGCCAATGAGGTTGCCCAGGCAACGGTGCAGGGGGTGGAGAATGCGGCAGCGGCAACCGGATTCGTTAGCACGGTGAGTGACGTCAGCTTATTATCAATGTTAAATATAAATGAGAACCAAGGCGTCTCGCTTTTGTGTTGTTGTTATTTTATTTATATAGCCTGTTTGTTTTCCTCGTGTTACAGATAAAGGTTAAACTTGTATTACACAGTTATTTATTATTACTTTGCACATTAACAAAATTACAAAAATATATTTCTAAACCAAATTTTGAAAGTCGTAACAGAATTCAAAAAAAGAGATTCACATAAAGCATTAGTTTCATTATATTCATACTGAGTCAAAGTTTGTTCAGCATTCATGCAGTAATTATTCACATAGTCTGT